GTACGAAATATTAGCACACGAATGATGCATTCTAATTCTATCATGGTCAGCAGTAGCAAAAATTATGCAGTTGCAGGTGTAAGGTATGATTTGAAAATTCTGTTAATAATACAAACAAATAGTGAATCGATTTATGATTTATTTTTGTAGAAAAAATTTGTACGTTTGGAGTTTGGAAACGTGTGAATTATTAAAAGTATTGGACGCACATTTTGCCAGAATAATACAGTTAGAAGCTTTAACCGTTGGAAATTGGAATAGCGTGGTAACTTCAAGTATCGATAGAAGTGTTAAAGTATGGAATATCAATAATATATTTGAACAAGTACATGTCATTGATAGACATGAATTACAAATTGATATGATCAGTTTGGCACAAGAATCTAACTTGGCAATTACAGTTACTAGAGATTGCGTTGGTATTTGGGATCTACAATTAGGAAAATTAATTTCTAAACTTGCCGATAGTCCTTTAGGGGCAATTGTAACGCATGCTTCTATAACGCATACCGCAAAGTAAGAAATTAATCAAACTTTTGTAAAAGATTAACAAAATAATCTATTATAAATCTATCAATGTTTTAGATACATTGTATCAGTAGAATCTGGAAATGTATTAATATGGAATAGAATAACTGAACAAGTATTATTCAAAGGAGAACAAGCAAATGTTAAACAATTGAAATTAATAGAAAATTCTACTAAATTTCTTACAGTTTCTAGACCAAATAATCCAACCGGAGTAGAAAGTATGAGAACCAATGCCATTCTTATCGTACGAAGTATTCCAGGTATTAAAAGAATTATCAAATTTATAAAAAAAAAGGAAACAAACAATTAATTTTACTATAATTTACAGATGGTACAACATTATTTTCGTTTGAGTACACTGTTAGAAGTCAAACAGGAACACCTTTTAGACAAGTTCAAATAACTTCGGACAATTCACATTTAATAATACCAGCAGCTGATAAAGGCAATAGAGATTGTATTATCATTCACAATGCGAAAACTGGAATGTTAGTGAATAAAATATCAGTCAAATTACCTGGATTCAAAGTATGTAAAATTACAATTCTATCTCGATAGTGTGTTGTTATATTAAAACTATTCATTTTATAGGATATAATTTGTATTACACCAATGCCTAACAAAGGTCACTGGGTAGGAATAATAGGCTCGGATAAAGGTGCTATTCTTGATATAAATAAGAAGAAATTTATACGAGTTATTCCAAAATGGAGTGGAAATATTAGTAAGGATGGTAAATACACACTGTATGCTCCTAGCAGGTAAGATCATTAAGACTTCATTGTAGATTTCATTTATATTAGATCTTATATTTGAATTATTTGTTACAATAGGGGAGGTTTAGAGCTGATCGAATTAAAGAAAGGAACAAGTGTTAAAACATACATTCCTAAAGTAGCAGAAGGAGTATTTACAGTAATATCAATGTTTAATCGTACAGATGAATATGTCCTTTATTATCACAGTGGTCGTAAGACTATAAGAGTATTCAGGTAATCATGTATTCAAGTTAGATAATAATAATAATAATAATAATAATAATAATAAACATGGAAAAACAAAATATATCACAATGTTTATTTACAGATCATCCGATTGTGAAATGATAGCAAACTATAGAGTACAAGCTGAACTGAGTGCTATTGATAGTACATATGATGGCAAAAGTATTGTTTTAGGAACTGTGGATGGTTGTGTGTCAGTTTTAGCAATTGCAGATCCCAAAAAGTTAGAAATGAAAAAATATTTGACAAATTTGCCATCACGTGATGAGGAGGTAAGTAGAATTAATATTTAACAGAAATACACGTGCATATTATTTCAATGCATTATTTATATATATATAAAATAATAAATAATAATATATTTTTATATATATATATATATATATATATATATTAATTGTTTCATTATAAATATACAATATTATAACAATATTATTTAACCTATAAAACACATGATGAAATATAAAAAAAAACTAATACACTAGACAAAGGGGATCAAATGAAAAGCATTACTTACATTTGTTTTCTTCGTTTCTCGTACGTCTTAATTAATTCTTCTATTGAAAGATTTTAATCTAAATTAATAGCACATGCTAATTTCAAAACATCAGCTTTGTTTTTGTTACTAATACGTATCTCTCGCGAATAATACTGGAAGCAGAAAGAACTAGAAAGTTACTAGTGGTGTCCATTATTCGCCAAGATGGCTGCTGTTAACAGAACAACGACTTCTGGTAGTACTGCAATAAAGTAGGGACCCTATAGGAGGGCCACGCCATACACATTGCTGGGGGACAGGAACTCGTGTAGTCACGCGATTGCGCGCGAATGATTCAAACGATAAGTTATAGGTTAGGTTTGTACATTTATACTTGTAATTATTAAATGAGTAAATTAAACTTACACTTATAGAAAACTACTAAAACAAAAAATAATCAAATATAAATATCACAATGAAAACTATAATTATTCCAAACTTAAACTAACCACAGCCGTTAATACATACTAAAGATAAACATGGCTGCGTGATGCAACGGAAGCTGTCCCCCCCCCAAATTTTCAGCTTAGCAATGTGTATGGCGCGTCCCTCCTATAGGGTCCCTAGAAACTATTATCTTGAATGAAATTTGAATTGGAAGAGTATTTTTAAATAATATTATTTATTTTGATTGAAAATCCATTCAAATTTCATATATAAATTGAATTTCTTTTTGATAAATTGAATTAATTAAAATAGTTTCTTTAATTTTTAGGTAAATTTGTATGGAATTTTATACAATTATTTCTTATACTTTTTGTTGACTGTATATATATATATATATTATTAACAAATTTATGTTTATTTCTAATAGTGGAAAAAGAAGATGGAAAAGCAAAGAGTTGCTATTAAATTTAAAGCTGCTGCTAGAATTGCACGTGTTACACAAGGGATGAATACGAGATCTATAAATAGTACAACCGAAACAATCGAAGAAACTGAGGAAGATATAGAATGAATAAAAACAATAAAAATAAAAAAATAGAAATGAAATGTTTAACTTTTTAGTCTGTAGAAAAAAAAAGAACAAAAAAAAAAAATAGAATAGTAGCTATTATAAATCTTCATTACAGATATCAATGAAAACTTTATCTTTATTGCACTAAAGATTAGACAAATGAAAATATTAGAGGTAGAAATAAACGTAGAACGTTTATGAATGTTAACTAAGTTTTTCTTTTTACTGAAGTAAGGATAAAAAAAAAGAAAAAAATAAAAAAGAAAATAAATCTAAAATGTTAGATAAAAGTATAAAAGAGACAGGACAGCACAATTATCGAATTTATATTACATTTATTTATGTCTTTTTTGTTGTTGTTGTTGTTGTAATTGTAATTGTTCTTATAATCAAGTTTTTATTCTTTCCTTTCCATTCCATTCACTTTCTCTCTATCATATACTTTATCTCCCACATTTCTTCTCTATCTCTTAGAAAGTTTGAATGGTAAAGGGCACGAGGCGAATTCTGTTAATGGATCGGACAAGCGATGTCAACTCTTTTAAAATACAAGATCAACTACGCTTTACAACCCTTGCACAAGTCGAATGGTCTTTTCTAAATTACAATTATTATTTTTTTTTTTTTTTTTAATTTATAATTATATCGATCGAAATAACATACTTTTCTTGAATTATTGATGTGAAAATTACTAGTAAGCTAATTCTTAAAACAATTCGCCTTGTGCAAGGGTTAATTTCATTAATATTATTATTATTATTATTATTTTAATTATATCTATTGTCCTCAACAATAATTAATAACTGAAAACGTCTCGTGCCAGTGTGTGTATGTGTGTGTGTGTGTGTGTATAGCCAGTTTGATATCACCCGGCAAAAACATTATTTTTAATATAAATTCTTATGTTCCATATTTGTCTTGTTCTTGAGTTGTTTGTTGCTTATCCTTGTTGATTTTTCTTTTCTTTTTGATAAGATTGTTATAATTTAACTAATATAATTTAGAAATTTGTATCCAATTAGTTGTGGGGAGCGCGCGCGCATAATTGTTCGAATGACAAACAATTATTTATTATTATTATTATTATAACGTCTTAAAAATATATAAAATTGCGTTCTAATGAAATAACATCGTTCATTACAAAAAGAAAGTTACCTTTTTTTTTTTTTTTCGTTTTTTTTTTTTTTTTCTTTATAATGAAACCGCGTGTATTGGCATTTTTAAAAAAGAATTATTCTCAAATTTCAACAATATATTCTTATAAGGAAGTTTGAGAACCGTTTCATACGGATTGAAATCGTATCATATTATATTATTTTCTTTGATGCTGCATGTTCGTGGAAGATTATAGTTTCTTTTTTTTT